GCGGCAAGGGAGGATTGGGAGGTCCTCCTCCTCCTCCGCCTCCTCCTCCTCCTCGTCCGCCTCGTCCTCCTCCTCCTGCTCCTCCTCCTCTTCCTTTTCCTCCTTCTCCTTCTCCTCCTCCTCCTCCTCCTCCTCCTCCTCGTCCTCCTCCTTCTCATCTTCCTCCTCGTCCGCCTCGTGTTCCTCCTCCTCTTCCTCCTCCTCCTCCTCCTCCTCGCCGGGGTGGCTCGTGGTGCGGGCGCGCCTCGGCGACTGCAAAAGGGTACGGTGGTGCGGTTTGCGAGCGGCACCGCGGGGGCCCGGTTGAGGGCGACGCTGTCCTCGGCGGGCCTCCTCGGGGCGCGGCGGAGAGCTCCGTTCGGGGTTCCCGCCCGCCCCCCAGGGTGCCCCCCGGGGTGCGGGTTGCAAATCACACCCTTTGCAAGCCACGCCCCTCGGAGTCGCCGATCTTGGCGCTGGCACGCCGGGGTCCCCCAGGTGGCTGAGCGCGATGTGTTGGCAGCGTCTTGCGCGCCCCGCTCTGGCCTCCCTACGGCCCCCAAGAGTCGCGCAAAGTGTCACTCTTGCCTGGGGTCACTCCTGCGTGTCGCTGGCTTGACGTCAGGGCAGGGTTGTCGTCGGCTCGTGGAGGGCTCCTTGCCCTCGGGCTGCGATGCAGCAGCTGCGCGTCGCCTCAGGGCGGGGTTCTAAGTTCCCAGGCCCCCGACGCCATGATTGTTTCGTGACGTCGACCCCAACGGCCTGGACCCCTTCCCCAGGACCGGTTTCTCATCCCGGGCCGTTTTTTGACGGCCCCGAGGCCCGGCGAGGGCCCCCGGAGGCCGAGCAGAGCGAAAAACCTCCCGCCGGGATTTTTTGTTGTGACCCGAGGGGGTCTGGGAGTCCGAGGCTCGCGCGGCCTTCGAAGCCCGAGGCCTTCGCACGCCGTCGTCGGCTCGACCCCGGCGCCTCCCATGTGGGGGTCTGCGCCGCGCCCTGTGGTCGAGGGCGTTCTGGGGGGGGGGGGTCCGCAGGTGTCGTCCAGAGGGAGGTCGTCTCCCGCACGGCCGTGGGGAGCCCAGGTGGGTGCACACTGGCGTCGGGTTGGCCCAGAAGGGGGTCCAGCGACAAGGGGGTGGTGCAATAGATTTGGTGCAATCGAGTTGTGGGGCTGCAGTACACATAGGGCGTGCAGTGCACTCCGGTTCGCAAATATGTATTGCTGGATTTCCGCGTGCAAGACGCTACTTGCAATACAATATGCAATACAACCCTTCCGGCGCAATACATTTGCAATCCAATTGCCCCAAGTCTATCGCACTACACCCTTTCAGCTGGACCCCCTTGTGGGTCACCCAAAACTGGGGAGCGGCCGGGCGGCGGGTGCGGATTACCCAGGCCCCCTCGGGTCATGAAAAAATCACGACGGAAGGTCTTCCGCCAGTTCAGCCTTTGGGGGCCCTCGCCGGGCCTCGGGGCCGTCAAGAAACGACTCGGGGCGAAAAGCCGGTCCCGGGGACGGTCGAGACCTCTGGGAGTCGACGTCATGAAAAAATCATAACGTCGGGGGTCTGGGGTGGGTGCACACTGGGGGGCGGTCGGACGGGGGGTGAGGACTACACGCCTGTCGTTGAAAGCAAGTATCTTGGATTTCCCAGGCCCCAGTCTACTTGAAACGCCCTCCTGCTTCAAGGGTCGATGATGTGCTTCTGCTGTGCCTCGCTCTTCTCTGGGAGGACCTGAACCCAATCTACGCGACCCGCCCTTCTGCTTCATGTCTTCACCTACTTCCTCCGACCGGAGTGTAATGCGGGATGGCGATTAATAAAAAAATGGGAGAGAACGATTAAACAAAATAGTTACCTGCTATTTCTGCACAATTTTCTGACTGGAGGAGAACGATTAAAAAAGTAGTTTTCCAGCCCGCGGCAGGTTTCTTCTAATCGTCATCCCGGGCGCCGCCGCGTGAACACGACCCCCGGTCATTCATTAATCGTCTTCCTCCATTAGGGGGGTGGATGTGTTGGCCCATAGTATGTCGCCGCGCCGTTTGTTTCGACACGTGGCCTTCCGTCTTGGGGCGGGCGTCTCGGCCACCAGGGCAATCTCCGCCTCGGGCGGAGGAGGAGGAGGAGGAAGAGGGGGAGGAGGAGGAGGAGGGGGAGGAGGGAGGAGGAGGGAGGAGGGGGAGGAGGAGGAGGAGGGGGAGGGGGAGGAGGAGGAGAGGAGGAAGGAGGGAGGAGGAGTAGGAGGAGGAGGAGGAGGAGGAGGAGGAGGAGGAGGAGGAGGAGAGGGGAGGTGGAGGAGGAAGGAGGAGGAGGAGGAGAGGAGGAGGAGGAGGAGGCAGGAGGAGGAGGTCGAGGGTTTGCGCGGGCGGGCTGCAGCCCGTCGGGCGCCGGGCGCGGGGTTGCGCGGTGGGCGGTTTCTTTTGTTGGGTTTTTCTTTCTCTGGATTGCCGTGGTGCCAGCCTCGTCCACTGGGGCGCGTTCGGAGCAAATGGCGCGGCGACACGTCTCCCAGACCCCCTCGAGTTATGAAAAAATCACGACGGGATGTTTTTTAATATTTTCGGCCTTTGGGGGCCCTTACCGGCCCTCGGGACCGTCAAAAAACGACTCAGGACGAAAAACCGGTCCCGGGGAATGGGTCGAGACCTCGGGGGGTCGACGTCATGAAAAAATCATGGCGTCGGGGGTCTGGGCTCCCAGAGACCGTGGTCCTCTCCTCGTCTTGCGCCACGTCCTCACATGCCAACCAGCAGTCGGGTCACCATGCTCTGAGCAGGCAAGTCACCCGCCCACCAAACCACCCCAACCCCACCTGAAGGCCCCGATCTGCCCTTCATATCCAGAGGGGGGGTGTTCGGGGAACATTGGAAAACACAGATGAAGCCCGTATACCCCCCTCCAACACGAGATTCGGGCCTTCCGGTTGCCGGTTGGATTGGGGTGGCCTGGTGCCCAGACCCCCGACGTCATGATTTTGTCATGACGTCGACCTCCCGAGGTCTCGACCCATTCCCCGGGACCGGTTTTTCGTCCTGAGGAGTCGTTTTTTGACGGTCCCGAGGGCCGGTAAGGGCCCCCAAAGGCCGAAAATAATGAAAAACAGAAACCCGTCGTGATTTTTTCATGACTCGAGGGGGTCTGGGTACCCCCCTCCAACACGAAATTCGGGTCTTCCGGTTGCCGGTTGGATCGGGGTGGCCTGGTGGGTAGCCACACCGCAAAGGCAACAGTCTCTCGACGCGTCCACTGGCCTCCACTCGCCAGGTGCCCAGCTTGGCCTCGGGCCCCGCTGCTCCCCCCCCCTCTTCCCAGACCCCGTCCCCGGCGGACCGGATGCGGGCTTCCTTGGTGTTGATTGTATGTCGGGCGTGTCCCCCTACAGGGGGATGTTCAACGAGAATAACAGAAACAAAATACCCGAAACAGATCAAAAAGTATGTGAGACATTGGTCCCCATACCATTTTTGGACTATGCTTTGAGTATGTTTGGGATATCTTTCATTTGTCGTCGAAAATCCCCCCAGTAGGGGGACGGGCCCGACTTAATATTCATTCAGCCAGCAGGTCGTTCTCCCAGACCTCCGATGCCTCGATCCCCCGAGAGATCCAGGCGCCGCCATCTTTTTCCTCACGACGGGCGGCTTCGCTCCACGTCTGGCCCGTCGGGGGGGCTGCGCGGCTCGATCCGGGCCGAGCAACCCAGACCCCCGACGCCATGATTTTTTCACGACGTCGCCCCCCCGAGGTCTCGACCCACTCCCAGACATCGGTCGTCTCGAAAAAATCGAGACGGAGGTTTTTCGTTATTTTCGGCCTCCTGGGGCCCTCGCCGGGCCTCGGGACCGTCAAAAAACGACTCGGGATGAAAAACCGGTCCTGGGGAAGTGGTCGGGAGGTCGGGGGCCCGCGTCTCGAAAAAATCAAGACGTCCGATGTCTGGGTTCCCCGGGACCGGTTTTTCGTCCCGAGTCGTTTTTTGACGGTCCCGAGGGCCGGTCAGGGCCCCCAGAGGCCGAAAAGAACGAAACACCTCCCGTCGTGATTTTTGTTCCTGACTCGAGGGGGTCTGGGAACGACGCCGAGAAAAGGTGGTGTCCGGGACTCCGGGCGCGATTTTTTCTCCTGCGGTGCTGCAGCTGCTCTGCAACACGTCGGAGCTCAGGGCCCCCAGGCCTCCGGGCTTCTCGGGACAAAAGTCGAGGCGGCAGCTTGTCGTCGTCTTCGGCCTCCCGGGGCCCTCGGCCGGGCCGATCGGGGCCGTCCAAAGACCGGCTCGGGAGGAAGACCTGGTCCCGGGGGAGTGGTCGGGAGGCCGGGGGCCCGCGTCCCGATCTCTGGATGTCGGATGTCTGGGTGGGCTGTCGGATGTCTGGGCTCATATACGAGTGACCGTTCGCTGGGGCGGCAAGGGAGGATGGGGAGGTCCTCCTCCTCCTCCGCCTCCTCCTCCTCCTCGTCCGCCTCCTCCTCCTCCTCCTCCTCCTGCTCCTCCTCCTCCTCCTCCTCCTCTGCTCCTCTCTCATCCTCTTCCTCCTCCTCCTCCTGCCTCCCTTCATCTCCCCTCCTCCTCCTCCTCCTCCTCCTCATCCTGCTCTCCTCCTCTCCTCCTCCTCTGCTCCTCCTCCTCCTCCTCCTCCTCCTCCGCCTCGAAAAACATCGAGACGTCGGACGTCTGGGTCGGTGGCTCCAGGCCTCTCCGACGTGTCGGACGCGCGCCGACGGCAAAGAGAAGCCTCGCCGCCCTTCTGTGTCGCGGCGTCGAGGGCGGCCCTCGGCGGGCGCCGCGGGCGCGCCCAGGAGCGGCCCGCGGGGCGGAGGCCCAGCCCCCGGGGAAGCCGTGCGGAGCTCGGGGAGCCCCCGGCGAGGGCCCCGGGAGGCCCAAAACGACGCTTAAGGCCTCCGTCTCGACGTTTTGTGGAGGCGCCCGGTATGTCTGGGGACCCGTGGGCCACAGGTGCATGGACGCGGCCAGGGCTTGGGAGGTGGTCCGCCGGACGCCCCCCCCCGTGGCAGGCGGCCGAGCTGCCCGCGGGCACCCCGCAGCCCCGGTGGCCCCCACCTCCCGGCGGGCTCGCGGCGGCCGCGCACTGGACCCTCGCCGCGCGCGTTTTTTTTTGTTGTTTGACTCCCTGGCGACCCAGACATCGGGCGTCTCGAAAAGATCGAGGCGAAGGTTTTCGTCGTTCTCGGCCTCTCGGGGCCCTCGCTGGGCCTCGGGACCGTCAAAAAACCGATTCGGGATGAAGACCTGATCCTGGGGAAGTGGTCGGGAGGTCGGGGGCCCGTGTCTCGAACAAAATCGAGACGTCGGATGTCTGGGGACCCAGATCCCCTCGAGTCATGAACAAAAATCCCGACGGAAGGTCTTTCGCCAGTTCAGCCTTTTTTGGGGGCCCTCGCCGGGCCTCGGGGCCGTCAAGAAACGACTCGGGACGAAAAGCCGGTCCACGGGAAAGGGTCGAGACCTCATGGGGGTCGACGTCGTGAAACAATCATGGCGTCAGGGGTCTGGGGACAGCGGCCAGCCGCGCGCAGGGGGGGGGGCAGGGGTAGGGGGGGAGGCTTCCCAGAAGCACCCCCGCTTCTCAGGAGGCGCGGGCCCTGCCTGTCGATGGCCGAGGCCAGCGCCTTCTCAGGAGCGACCTGCTTCTCAGGAGCCTATTTTAGATACTAAAGTATATTTTAGATATATAAATCTACCCAATTAATACAATAATCTTTTTTATTTTTTCTGATCAATACAAAAATATCGTTCAACTTTATTCGATTCCTTTTCTTTGAAGACCTCCCCCTATGCCCCCTGTGCGCGCCGCCAAGACGGGCGTGACCCGGGGCGGGGCGGGGGCGGCGGCCGTTCAGGCCACGAGTCGCGCTGGTGCCGTCTGGGAGTGCCTAGGAGTTGCTGGTTTTATGTCGGGCGTGTCCCCCACACAGGGGGATTTTGGACGACAAATAAGAAATACCCCAAGAATACCCCCCAAAGGCAACAACAATGCCCCAAAAATAGTCCCCAGACTGTTTGGGGATTTTTTTAGGACTATTTTTGGTGTATGTTTAATCTTTCGTCGAAAAATTCCCCTGTAGGGGGACAGGCCCGACTTCATGCTGGTTCCCAGGCGGCGCCGGCGCGAAGCGTGACGTGACCCTCGGAGAGGCGGGATAGGGGGGAGGGGGCAGGGCCCATCACGGGCGCTTCTCGCGAGTCATCCTCCTCCTCCTCGTTCTCGTCCTCCTCCTCCTCCTCCTCCTTCCTCCTCTGCCTGCCTCCTCCTCCTCCTCCTTTTCCCTCCCTCTCCTCCTCCTCATCCCCTCTCCTCCGCCTCTCCTCCTCCTCCCCTCCTGTCCTCCTCCCCCTCCTCCCCCTCCTCTTCCTCCTTCTTCCTCTGCCTCCCCTGCTCTCCTACTCTCCTACGCGCGGCGGCCCCATACGGGCCCTCCGGCCAGGCGGCTCGCCACGGGGAGGATGGCGCGAGCTGTTGTTTCCAGTGAAGGAGGAGGAGGAGAGGAGGAGGATGTGGAGGAGGAGGAGGAGCGAGGAGGAGGAGGAGCAGGAGGAGGAGGAGGAGGGGGAGGAGGAGGAGGAGGAGGATGAGGAGGAGGAGCCCTGAAGAAGGAACCCTTTTCGTTGGGGAGGGGCTCCGTGTTCTCTGATTGCTTCACGGTTTGCCTCGGGTTTTCCTCTGGTTTTTTCGATGGGGAATCGAGGTTCAGCTTGTGGACAGAAGGGGCCTCGCTCCTTATTTTGGGCTCCCTGGGTCAGCGCTTCGACTGCTGTGTCAGAACAAATTCGAAGCCCAGAGTGGTTTCTATCAGTGGCGCCTCGCCGAGAGCGCTTGGGGCCCGTCATGGGCTCCACGAGCCTCAGATCCTATAGCGCTGTGGTCTGTTCCTCGGCGGGCGGCTCTGCTTCGGGTCGAGCCCCGGGGCCCTCGCGGGTCGATCCGGCCTGAAAAACATGTGTATAATTAAGAGGATTGGGTCCCTCCCTCCCTCCCTCCCTCCCTCCCTCCTCCCTCCTCCCTCCTCCCTCCTCCCTCTCCTCCTCCTCGTCCTTCTCCTCCTCTTCCTCCTCCAGCTCTTCCTCCCTCTAGGGTTTGGGGCATGGTATCTTTGGTGTCCATGTTTCCATTCTTCCGTGTTGTCGGATCTCGGGGGATGCCGACTTGGATCTCCGCGGGGGTTGCGCAGGGGATCGGGGAGTTCTGCGTGGATGCTCAGGTTGGTTGTGCCTGGCCGGACCTTGTATATAAGCGGCTTGTGTGGCTCAGGCTGGGGGGAGACAGAATGGGTAATGAAGTGGGCCCCGCTTAGCGGGGTTATCTAATCTCCCCAAGCCGCTCAGTGCACGTGTAGCCCTCTCATATGCCAAGCATGGCCATCTGCAACCCACCTTTTCGCATCCTCCTAAAAACTTCCATGCCCTCAGCAGCCCCCGCGGTTGCCCAGGTAGGTCACCCCCACTGGCGTAAAGAGTACTCAAACCTCCAACGTGTTGGAACAAAACAAAGTGAGCGACTCAAAAAGTGGGGTCGTTTGCGCCGACACTGGCGCCGTAGGCTGCCCGCATAAGGTCGATCGTAAGAGCGCTCTCGCCTCCAGTGCAGCGTACCGCGCTGGCGGCCCGCGTCGGCTGCGGCGTAAAGTCGCTACCGTCGTCTCCTGCGGTGTGAGGTTGCTACGTCATCTCGAGTAAGGCCCTGAGATCCTACGGCGCGAAAAACACATGGAGACATCGCGAAAATCACCTCTGGAGCCATGTAGACCCCATTTTCCCACGACATCAATCGAGCCGCATCGATCTGTGAGGGTCCTGGGCGCAAAAACCCGACGGCATCGCCCGGCTCAGAAAAAAAGAGACGCCAGGATCTCAGGGAAACGACCCGCTGTTGTCGGAAACTGAAGCATGTACATTACCATTGGCGGCCTTTTTTTTTAATCCCAAGACTTTTTGAGGGTCGGGGACGCTGTTGGGGTGGTGTGGTGTATATTTGTTTCCCCATAACCTTGGGGAAATCGCGAAACATGTATTCGCCAGGATCCCGTATACACCAGGATCCGCTTTCTGGTGCAGGTTTCAGTGCAATTCCAGAGAAAGTCGGGGGCGGCAGAGAGAGGGGTGAGGACCAGGGGTGTGTGGATATCATGGCGGGGGGCATGATATCTCCCCTGCTTTCGTGGCGCCTCTTCTCATTTCAATGCGTCCCTGGCCCCCCCCACCCCCTGGCCGTGCACGCGCCGCCGGCCATGATTTGCGCCCCCCCCTCTTGGAGGGCCCCCCTCTTGGCCGACCCCGAGCAGGGGGAGGGTGGCAGGCTTCTTAGAAGCGCCCCTGCTGCTTGGAAAGCGCGGGCCTTGTCCACAGGTGCAGGGCCAGCGCCTCTGAGAAGCAGCCTCCTTCAAAAAAAAGCCTTCCCGCCCTTTGTGGGCCCCGGAAACGGCAGGGCCGTTTTTTCACCGTTTCCAAAAACATGCCCCTTGAAAGTGGAATCGGAAAAAAAGCCGCGACCGGAAACGGCAAAAAAACGGCTCCAGGATTGGAACCGGAGCCGGAACCGGTCAAAAAACGGCGACGGAACCAGTAAAAAAACGGCGTCGGAACCGGCAAAGAAACGGCAGAACGGAACCGGTAAAAAAACGGCCCTGTCGTTTCCGAGGCCCACTAAGTTCCCGCCCCCTACCCAGACATCCGACGCTCCGATTGTTTCGAGACACGGGCCCCCGACCTCCCGACCACTTCCCCGGAACCGGTTCTTCATCCCGAGTCGTTTTCTGACGGTCCCGAGGCCCAGCGAGGTCCCCGAGAGGCCGCAAACGACGAAAAATTTCCGTCTCGATTTCTGTTCCGAGACGCTCGATGTCTGCCCCCGAGAAAGCGTCGGTGCGTACACATTGTTCATTTCTAAGTATTCGAAAGTTCTTTGATTTTTTCGGGGGGCAAGATCTTTAAATTTCTAATTGTTCTATCCTGGGCCTCTTCCTGGCCACTAGGGGGCCAGGAACAATTAGAAACGAGCACAATTAGAAATGAGCGCGATTAGAAATGAACGACGTGTACCCCAGGGGTGTCCCCCGGACGGTTTTTCGACACGACATGCAAAAGTTGCATCGGTTTTCCAAGGGGTGCATCGATTAGAAATGAACGACGTGTAGAGTTCGTTTCCTCCTCCTTCTCCTCCTCCTCCTGCTCCTCCTCCTCCTCCTCCTCCTCCTCCCTCCTCCTTCTCCCTCCTCCTCCTCCTCCCTCCTCCTCCCTCCTCCTCCTCCTCCCTCCTCCCCACGATTAGAAATGAACGACGCGTAGAGTTCGTTTCCTTGTGTTGAGCATTGCTTCGGCGGAGGTTTCTCGCGGCGGTCACCGCCCGGAGGCCCTCGCGGCCCCGCAACCCCCACCCCCCCCATGTGGCCGCCGAGGGCGCCAAGGCCCACCGGACAGCCGACGTTCGATCTGGTTCTTCTCACGGGGCCCCCGACCCTCTCGACCACTTCCCTCCTCCTCCTCCTCCTCCTCCTCCTCCTCCCTCCTCCTCCTCCTCCTTCCTACTCATCCTAACCCTTCTCCTCATCCTTCTCCTCCTCCTCCTCCTCCTCCTCCTCCCCTCCTCCTCCCTTCTTTCCTCATCCCTCACCTCGCCATCCTCCTTCGCCGCTTCCCTTTCTCCTCCTTCCTCCTCCCTTCTGCCTCCTCCCGCCTCCCTCACGCTCCTCGCTTCGCCCTCTTCCTTCTCCCTCCTCCCTCCTCCCTCCTCCTCCTCCCTCCTCGTCCTCCCTCTCACGTCGCCCTCTTCCCTTTCCCTACTCCATCCTCCTCCTCCCTCCTCGCTCCTCCACTCCTCAGCATCACTCATAATCCTCCTCCTCCTCCTACGCAGCATCATCAGCATCCCCCTCCTCCCCCCCATTCCCATCTCCCTCCTTTTTCTCTCCTCCTCCCCCTTACCCCCTTCCTCTCTCCACCCCACTTCCCTTCTCCCAGACCCCCGACGTCACGACTTTTTTCGCAACGTCGACCCCCAGAGGTCTCGACCCATTCCCCTGGACCGGTTCTTCGTCCCGAGTCGTCGTTTGACGGTCCCGAGGCCCAGCGAGGGTCCCGAGAGGCCGAACGCGACGAAAACCCACGTCCCGATTTTTCCGAGGCGCCCGACGTCTGGGAAGCCCTGGGCCCCGCTTCCTCGGGGCCCGCTCGCGCCGTGCCCGATATAAAAAAATATAGGACCCACGCCGCCACGCCGCTCGCGCCGTGCTCGCCCTGGCGGCGCGGCGCCCTGCGGCTGCAGCGGCTCGTGAACCTGTGGCCCACGCAGCTCTGCTTCGCCGCCGTGCTGGTCCTGAACCGCCTGAGCTACCCGATCCCGGCGGGGGACCGGGTGGCCCGCGGCAGCGGCAGGGGGCCGAGGAGGGGCACCGGTGCAGGAGCGTGCGCCCAGACCTCGGGCGTCGCGATGTATAAAGCATCGAGACGGGCGCCGTTCGTCGTGTTCGGCCTCCCGGGGCCCTCGCTGGGCCTCGGGCACGTCACAGAACGACGGGGGGTGAAGAGCCGGTCCAGGGGAAGTGGTCGGGAGGTCGGGGGCCTTGGTCACGAAAGAAGTCGAGACGTCGGATGTCTGGGTGAACATACACGTTCGGAGGTCCGCGCGGAGTGCTTGCATCGCCGCGTGGGCTCTCTCCGGTGGCGCCTCACGCGCCGATCCGAGAAGTCGGGCGGATCTCTGCAGGTTCATGCTCATGCCGTTTGGCTTGTGTGGCGGTCATGCCGTTTGGCTTGTGTGGCGGTCCGGGCTTGATTGGCGGCTGTCGGTTTGTGTGGCTGTGGCGGTCCTGGCTTGGCCGACGGGTGTCTTGCTCGCATGGTGCTCACTGCCGAGGCTGGTGGATCGGCACTGGCTGTTCACCCTGCATTCCCAGATACCCGACGTCGTGATTAGTTGAAAACGGGGTCCCCGGCCGTCTCGACCCTTTCCCCGGGACCAGTTTTTCATCCTGAGTCGTTTTCTGACAGTCCTGGGGCCCGGCGAGGGCCCCCAGAGGCCGACAGATTATGAAAACAGCCGTCTTGATATTTTGTAGATCTGCTGGATCTCTGGGCTGTCGTCGGTCCGAGATCGTGGATCGTGGGGAAAAACAGAGCTCATGTCTGTGATGGAAGAGGGGCAGGCCCCGGCAGGCGTGGGCAACAGAATTGTCTCAGCACGCCAAGCAGATTTGTCGACATTCTGGCTGGAACTCTTCACACTTCGGCCTTTTTCCAGCGGGAGACTGGACAGCGGCGGTGCGCGAGTATACTGTCTAGCGCACGCTCGTGCCACTGCTCATGTGCCCACGGACACGCGGCTTCATTCCTTCATTCTTCCACGGGGGGGCAGCATCGACCCCGCCGCCACTCGGCGCCCGCGAGCCCCGCCCCCCTGCTCGGGAGAGGTGCGGCCTCGCGCCTTTGCGGGGGGGGACCCTCGCCGGCCTGCCTCGGCGATGCAGCCCCGAGCCCAGGGCACCTCCAGCCCCAGACCGCCTCGAGTCGTACAGAAATCACGGCGGGAAGCTCTTCACTACTCTACAGTGAGCGGCTTGAACAGGGAACATTTCCTTTTCAAAAGGGGCTCGGTCGTTCCTTGGGTTTGCATGCGTTCTGCTACCTTTTTGGCGGCGAGCCCCCCTGGTGTTCCTTCGGACTTCTTAGACTCACTTGGAACAACAAGGGGCTGCGTTCCTTATTTATCGTTCCTTCGGTCAGGCCGATGACTGTAGGCCTCCGGGAGCCCTCCCGGGGCCCTGGGGCCGTCAACAAAACGGCTCGGGGCAAAACACCGGTCACGGGGAAGGGGTCCCGACCTCTGGGGGTCGACGCTGCCAAAAGAACACGCCGTCGGGGGTTTGGGTTGGGGCCCCTGCACCAGTCCTCCGTTTCGGGTGGTTTTCGGACGGTCGTTGGGCACGATCCGGGCAGCCCTGGGACGCTTTCGGCCGGGCGCCGCCGCCGGAGCGCATCCCGAGGAGGCTGAGCCATCGCAGCGAAGCGACGAGAGCAGACGAGAACATCGGAGTCTCGAACCTCGCACCCCTTCCTGAGGCGACCGTACCCCTCAGGTGGACCAGACCCCCCACGGGGACGAGATGCCGAGCGACGACGTGTACTCCTTGGCGACCACCCTCGCCCTGCTCTTCGTGATCACCGTGTGCGAGCTGCTAGTCCGGGTCGCGGCCCAAGGTGCCGAGCAGTCGACTGCACGGAAGAGCGACCCTTCGCTGGAGCCACCTCTGGTGCGGGCTCCGCGGGGTCCCCCCGATTGCCGAGCGCGATGCGTCAGCGGCTGCTTGCGCGCTTGGCTCTGGCCACCGTTGGCTCCCCCGTCGTCCGCGCACCAGCGGTCGCTCTGGCGTGCAGCCGAAACACGCAAGAGTGGCCGTTTTCTTTTCTTCCCCGCCAGGTAACTCCTCCTCCTCCTCCTCCTCCTCCTCCTCCTTCCTCTCCTCATTCCTCCTCCCTCCTCCTCTTCCCTCCTCCTCCTCCCACTCCTCCTCCATCTCCTCCTCCCCCTCCCCCTCTTCCTCCTCTTCCTCCTCCTCCTCCTCCTCCTCCTCCTCCTCCTCCTCCTCCCTGTCGTTACCCTGGTGGGGGGTCTGGCGGCGGGAGGGGAACGGTAACGGCGGCCTCGGCGTAAGTACACCCTTCAGGGTGCGTCCGAGCCACCGGCGCGTCAATCGCCTGCGTGCACCGCAGCACGCAGGGGTGGGGGTCCAGATCCCGTCCCCAGTACGATCGTTAGCGTTACCCAGGGGGGGGGAGGGGTTTGCGTTTGGCCCAGGCAGCGAGCGTTGCCCTGGGGAGGAGCCAAACAGATCGACTACACGTAAGAGTGACCCTTCGCCGGAAAGACCTTTGGTGCGGGCCCAGTGGGGCCCTCCGATCGCCGAGTGCGATGCGATAGTAGCGTCTTGCGCGCTTGGGTTTGTCCCCCCCGCGG